GGGAAAGAAAGATACCAAATTATTCAAGTGCCATATATTTTTTTTGGGAGAATCTTATCACTCTTTCAAACTGGCCAAACTCACACAGATATAATAAAGCCTGTTCTCAACTGAGAGGCTGTAACTATCCCCATTCCCAAAAGATGGGAGGTTAAAGACCCTTCCCTTGGCCACATTCCCATGGATCACAAGTTATTCTCTAATCTTATCCTTCTTATCCCAGATACAATGTTATATAGTGCTAACTTTCCCACCACTGCAATCACAATAACCTATCACTGTTGCACCAATATCAGGGTCATGACTTTCTACAGGCTATCCCCAAGACACCCGAATAGAAACACTAGAGGTAACACAGAATCCAAGGGCTAAGACAAAAGAGATACCATCCAGCTACTCCTTATCTATATCAAAGTATACCAGTCAGGCTACAAACAGGACTCAAGCTTCCTCATGAAACTTAAGATACTCCATGCATATTTTTTTGGTATTGGTTTTATGAGAGCAAGCAGAGTTAAGGTATTCTGGACAACTTTTTACTTTATCAAGTCTGCTTACCTGTTTGGGCACAAGCCATCAAGTCTCTCTTGTCTTTGATAATAGGGATAGCATGCTTTTGCACTGGAGTTGGACGAGTGTAGCGAGTAAGCTCAATGTTTCCCATAATAATTTCTCCCATCTCAACATCACTGAACTGTCAAGAAATACATCAGGGTTAAATAGGTAGAAATACTACCTGGAGCCATTTTGCTTTATACAAATACAATGGGGGACAAAAACCCTATCAACCAACTTGTACTTTAGTTTACAGCTGCTTTAAATAAAAGTTATCGTGTTACATTTTGAGGGGGAGGGGGAAAAACAACAACACCCCCTAAGCTTAACCTACACTGGAGAAGTTTTCGGTTCCTCCCATGTCTGACCCATTTTCTATTTCAAATATCAGTAATGGTAACATTGAACTCAATCTCCCCCTTTCCACAAACCAACGAGGCAGGCTTTTAGAGTAACTTTAAAAGACCGTTAACACAACGCAGGCATGGTCTATATAGGCCTTTAGGAAGCCCATCTCATCTTGATGTGCTGTGAAAATACTTACACTTTCCTCTGTCTTAAAGTATTTTGCTGTCAAGCAAAAATACTTACACTTTCAATGTGTGGAGGACAGTTGTTGCCTGTTGCCTCAACTGGAATGTCATCGTATTTTTCAAAGTTAATCCCGGTGTTGCCTCCAGAAAAAAGCTCTCTGAAATCAGAAGATCGGTAAGTTTATTTGTTATACTAGCCAATAAGGCTTCATCACAATTAACATACATTTCAAAAACTTACTGTTCCAAGCGTTCACTTGGCGGGAGTGGTTTTGACCAATCATCTTCATCTGATTTGTCACACCAGCGACTATTTCCACCACGTTCGTATTTTCCAAAGCCACCTCTTTCACCACGGCTGCCAATGCTGTCATAGTCACCTCGTCCACGATCATCAAACCTGAACAGCACAACCAATTAATCAGAATCTTATCATTTAACCATTATCAGATTCCTACCACTATTCTAGAACTGTGCCTGAAGAGAAGTTCATTATGGCTAATTTCAAGGATGTCAACAATCCAGTTCAGGCTTACTCTTATTTGCCAAATAAGGTCCTCTAACCAGATTGTATCATTTACATAACTTTATTTTCTAAATTCAGTATTCTTCTTTATTCTTATCACATAGCCTACACAGGCCTCATACATGTTGAAATTGAATCACGTCTTTATACCTGAAACTAAAAGAGTATTGTAAATCAACTATAGTTCAATAAAAACAAACAAACTACGCTTGGGAGGGGCGGGGGTGGGGGAGAATCAGTCTTATACACATGAAACCAGCATATAACTTGCACCTTTAAATATTCTCATCCAAATATTTCTAGTGGTAGGGAAAAGAGGAAAGTATCACACCAAATATCAATTGTCCCAGTTATATCAGGATGCTACTTAAAGGACAATTCACCTGTGTGACAAACTTTGGATAAAAAGGTAGAAAATAATCCTTACCTGAATTAAGATGTTTTTAGTTTTAGGCCTGTTTTCGAAAAATCAGGACACAGGACTAACCACAGCTATTAGGCGCATGAGGTCAGTTCACCACACTTGTGTAATCAAAAATATAAGGTGTTTAAAAATTGTCATATAGAATATCCACGAAAATGTCAACCAAATTAGGCCATTCATGAAAACTCTTTTAAGTAAATATGTAAAACTAGAGAAATTTAAAAATAACTGATTTCATTATGCCAAAAGGAATGTTCTTCTAATCTAATTCTTGAATAACAAGTTCAATTTAGCAGACCTCTTACAGCTAAAAAAATACATAAATACGATTAAACAGACATAATACTTAACATCCAAGTAGGTGGTCTACTAAGGGGAAAAAATATCATGCTTAATGGTCAGAGTGCAAATTAAAGACCAATTTCTAAATTGCTGTATTGTACATGTAAAAAAGGCAAGAAAATAAGAAATCACTCACCTTCCCCTTGATCCACTTCCACGATCACTGAAGAAACTAGACTTCCCTCTTGAATCACTACGGCAACCAAAACTGCTGTATGCATCCTTATCTTTACTAGAACTCCACCCTGAACTGTCTTTATCATAGAATCCTTCAAAAGAAAAAAAACGCAAACCCATTTTATTATATTATTTAGAAAGTGACAATACTTTAAAGCATGTTTCCGAATCTGAAGCCCTCCACTGACTATCCCATCTCTGGACCAGAGGGACAATGGAAATATTCCTACCACGGCACTAGAATATACTGTGCACTAAACAAAGCAATTGACAGTCTGAAAATGTTCTGAATGAATACCACTTCTAAAAGGTCAATAGCTTTGCCTGTAACACAATGATTATGGTATTGTTACATAACCATCACAATTTAACTTCCATTCATTGTATAGGTGAGTGAGTTTACTAGGAGTTACCATTATTTCAATCTCTTAGAAGTGACATTCATTTAAAACATTAGGAATGTCAGTTTACTTGGTTTAACACAGTATTTCTTAGTTTCAATAGTAAAAAGTTTTAAGAACAGTGCTCTCTTCTCATGAAGTACATACTACCAGATGAGAATTAGGAATATAATAGAAAAAAGGAAAATCCTCATTCCTACACAACTCAGTGTAGACAGGTTCCTAGGGTACAGCTATAAACATTCAGTAAGAGGGGATGACAAAGGTGTAAATTATCCCAACAGGCAGACGGTTTAAAGACAAGTAGACAAAAGACAAGAGTAGCTTCAGTGACACTTTATTCAACAGTCACAGATATAGTTTGTAAGTTAAGTTACTTTCCTTCCACCTCCTGCCTCTACCAGCCAGGTGATCAACAGTCTTGGCTACCAATGAAGAGCTGAGTTAGATTTCTAAGATCTCTTTCAGCTCTAACTCCTATATGATACCGCCTCTCTCCCTGCTTTGATTCCTGTCATTGCAACCAAGGGAGAAAAGCACTAAATATACATGGGAGTCAATTTCAGCTAGTGCATTCTAAGGATTAAGACTCTACAGTAAATAAAAACAATGATATGATAGCTAAGAAATTATAATACAGATTTTATATTCCATGTATTGCCAGGGACAATGAAGCTAACACGGACTACATATGGATATGGAGAAACGACAGCAAACTATGTGCTTCTGTGGACTCTCCACCCTTCCAATCCTGCCTTCTTTATCCAGTATCTTCCCTCTTCTTGACCTTCAGTTTTCCTGACCTTCCCCTTATCCTCGAAATCTCAGATCACCTATTTTATGGAATACACAGCACCCAAACAATTGTCCCATATGAGCCATCTACTAGTTCTCTGTCACTTATTTACAAAGTTAATGGGAAAAGACCAGCTGTTGTGATACCTTTTAGATAAGACCTTTCAAATGAAGCAGTTAAGGCAAGGAGATGAAGCCAGAGAATCACTCCCATCTATTGGGAGCGTGCCCAATGCTTGTTAACTATTCCCCAATAACCCCATCTTCATTTTGGCACCTCTGCAAGACAGAAATAACTGGGTTGTCATCACTATGCAGCAGTTTGGTTTACACAGTAATGGGTGTTCAATCACCTTTTTCAAATTGAAATCATGCTGTGAATGATTACAAACACAGGTTAAGCACAAGACTAGTGAAATTGTACAAAACCATGCCCTTGGCCTCAAAAGAGTCTGACATAGGAAATGCAGTTTTCCCACTGTCTGACATTAGGTGAGTTTTTCCAAAATGAGTAAACCCTAATATCGGAAACTGTTCTGCCAGTAGCAGGAGGGGCACAATGTTTACAGACTTCTCCAGGTGTCTCATTTTCGCTAGGCTCCAACTTCTAAATGCAGCATGAATTAGGTATACCAAGTTGTTCAAAGGACTTACCTTTAGTAGCTTCTCTGTTCCTTAAGTGAGGAGGAATATAGCGCCCTTCTAAAAGAAAGTAACAAAGTTAAAACTTCATATTCCATAAAACTTTAAGTTAAAGCTTTTTGGCCAAAATTTGTGCTATTAAAAAACAGTCCTGGAAAGGAATTTTTAAAATCTATTGTCTTCCGGTCTGACTATGTAGTTAGAAATTAAGAAGTGGGGAAAAAAACAATCTATTTTTAGGGCTTTCCTGGTGGCACAGTGGTTGAGAGTCTGCCTGCCGGTGCAGGGCACACGGGGTCGTGCCCCGGTCCGGGAGGATCCCACATGCCGCGGAGCGGCTAGGCCCATGAGCCATGGCCGCTGGGCCTGCGGGTCCGGAGCCTGTGCTCTGCAACGGGAGAGGCCGTGGCAGTGGGAGGCCCGCATACCGCAAAAAACATAATGCTAATAAAAATAAATTTACTTTTATTTTAAATGGGTTATTGCTTTAATAAGTAGAATTTTAAAAGGGGAAGGAGAACAGGTCTGACTTGGAACCTAATAGTTGAAATCTACAAATACATAAATTTAACTTGTCACTAGTGGTTAATTTAACACAATATTTTAAAAGGCCTGCTATGATTTCAGAGAATTGGTACAAACTAACAAAAGAGTTACAACGTTAAGTATTACTACAACAACGTAACAAACATTACTAAATTATTTAACATGTAGCAAAGTGTTACTGTAACAACCTCAAAGTAATAAACATGTAACTAGCCACACTAAAAGGCTTTTTTGTTTCCACCCTGGTTAAGTTCCAAGACATAGAATACATATGTAACATGGGAAAGTTGCAAGAGGGAGAATGATTTCAAGGAACTGTGAATTTTAATTAGAGACCTGCAGACTTTAAGTCAACTGTTTTTCTGTATGCACAAGAATACAGCCTAGACAATGGATGAGAATCAAAAGCAAATAATGTATATACCCACCAAGTAAAGTCAACTTGCTTTAATCTGCAATTTAACTTTTTCACTTCTGGGTTGAATTATTAAAGATCTCTATTAGAATGATCAAGTCCTAAATGATTCTTTGCATGCCAAATAAAGTGAAATTTAAAACAAATACCAAGTAACTGTGCCCAGTGAGGCCCTTCTTGCCTGAAAATGAAGACATGCCCTTTACTATGCAACAAAGAGAGCTTGAAGAAATGGTGCTTTCAGACCTTACATACAGCCGATACACATTTTTTCTCTTTTTGGTTAATAGGGTGGGAAGAGACCTGAGCTGAAGCAGGTCTACTGCCAATAATAAACGACCAAGATCCCATACACCTTAATACTAATCTCTACCAAGTATCCAAAAAACCCTTTTAAGGAAAAAAAAATTGAATAAAACTTCTATATCTAACTTATTTTCAAAAGAATACAACAATTCAGCGTTTAAAATCCTAACCACCACCCCAAGATTCATTATGGCCTCGTTCTATTATTTTTTTTAAAAATATTTATTTGGCCTCACCAGGTCTTAGTTACAGCATGCGGGATCTTTAGTTGTGGCATGCAGGACCTAGTTCCCTGACCAGGGATCAAACCCAGGCCCCCTGCATTGGGAGCACGGAGTCAACCACTGGGCCACCAGGGAAGTCCCTAGCCTTGTTCTATTATTAAGTCTCATGTTCTTCATGGGAAAGGGATAGCTGTAGCTGATGAATGTGAATGTTCCCTTTATTCAGTTTAATTCTGGTAGATTCACTCTAATAGTGATATACACATTCCCATCACCTTTAAGCTGGGCTCAGGATTCATAATGGACACAATCAAACCCTTCTAGAGATAATTTGTGTTTTGTATAAGGTCCTTAATGATTGTTTTCATTCAAGAAAACTACTCTGTTTTGTTATCAAAAGACCACAACACAGAACTTCTACTCCAAGAGGCATGGGTTCCCACGCCTGGTCAGGAAACTAAGATCCTGCATGCTGCGCGGCCAAAACAAAACAACCCCCCCAAAACCCCCCCACAATGCTACCCACCTAATTCTTTACACAGTAAATATTGGCAGGGAAATTCTTAAATTTTAAACAAATCCAACGAGATATTAAGGTATTAAAGCTCTAATAATCAGTAACAGCATTGTAAATCAACTGTATTTCAATGAAATAAATTTTTTTTAAAAAGCCCTAATTATTCACAGTAAATCCATAAAATGTTTTACTTACTGCTGGCGGTACTTCCTCCACTCTGATTATCAGAAGAGTTCAGGTCTAGGCCAGCAAACTAGAAAAGAGTTATTAAACTTTGGTTAGCAGCCCATGTGCAGAAATATTACACTAAGAGAAAACTAGTCTTGCTCTCTAGCATTTACTAGCACTAGTTGCCCTGTCTGCCTCACCGGGGATGTGAAACTCTTAAGGAGAATGTGACTAAGAATGTGCTCCGAAGACAACTAAGTTGTAAGCAAATGCAAAATACTTTACTACAGTACTACTGTATATACTGCAGAAGGTACCACACCAAGATGGTGGTGCTACCCAGGAGAAACTGGGTCCAAATTTAACTCATTCATTCAAAATGAATCTTCCCTGTAACGTTTTCCATAGTAAAAGTTCAAGAAATTTAAATTATTTTAAAATGTCAAATAGTCATTGGATTCATTTTAGCTCCAAACATTTGGAGACAAATGTTTTCAATGCCACCAACTTTCTACTTGGAATTATTTTAAACCTACAAAGAACACCTGAAAAATGTCAGAACAAAAATTTTATCGACCATGTCATAGTTCCTTTATCCCTAAATACTGCACAAATATTTTAAATTAGGGTAGCACGCTTCAGAACAAAAATTAATATAACCACCACTTTACTGAGCACTACTAAGCACAACTCTATGAAGTAGGTACCTACTTGTTCTCCCACTTTCACAGTTAAGTTCAGAACACTTCGGACATAAATGGCACAACTGGCATTTAGTGTCCTTAATGAGTAGGACACATTTTACTGCCTTTATCTCCACGTCTACCCGTCCCTTTACACTGGTAGCTCAAAGCCTCAACATTCTAAAAAAGAGATCTATCTTCATCGCATTCTGTAATAACAAACTATTTACAAGCAATAGGGGGAAAACTGTATGTGCCAAAAGCAGTTTCATTTTTTTTAATGTACCCAGTCACAGGACTATTGCCACCTGTTTGCAAAGGTGATATGCTATACCATAGCGTTTAAGTCCTGTTAAAAGCTCAAGGTTATACTGTCAAATTGCAAGCATCATCAATGGAGGCACTGAAAATTGGGAGCAGATGCTAAACCTTGGGAAAAAAATGAGTTATGGTAAGGCAGCTCATTTCCTAATTTCTATCAGCAAAAACGCTGTCATGTTTTCTCTGCACTAGTTATCTCAGCAATTGACTGATACTTTAACGCACAATAGGAACAAACTTTGTTTTTGCACTTGCTGCCGTACGTTTTGTTATTAATTTTACACTTGGCAAACACTAAATGCTACTGTAAACTGTTAGGATTACGTTATTGCAATTTTCTCAGTTGTGAATTAGCTTGCTGCTTAATTCTAACGACTCTGCATACTTTTTCCAATTACTTCGATTACAAATTTCATTCCTACCTAGAATCTTAAATACAGCACTACCTACATGGTAAATGTTAAAATGGGAACAGCCTATGCTCTTGATAACAGATTTTTTTTTTATCTCTGCTCCATTTAACATGACGCGTCAGCAATCTGGAGAATTCAAACTGATTCTATAATGGAAAAAATGCTCCCCCCCCAAACCAGGTCGTTAAGTCCTTAAAAACTTATTACACACGACTACATTAAAGTCTATTGACAATTCATTTGCGTCACTCGACTTCATTTCAGAATTTCGGAGCTCGTGATAGGCAGAAGTTTACTTAAAGGCAACAAATATCGCACTGAAGACCTCCTCTGAAGCGCGGTGCCACAGTTGCTGAGGGATGCAGACTTCAGCCACCTCAGCCCAGAACCCCTCCTCTACCTCTAAACCCTTAGAAGAGGGCGTTCCGGTTAAGACGACAGACCCGGAGCATCTGACCTATTTCAAAATTTCAATCCACAAGCAGCAACAAGTCAACAACAAAATTGTTTATTTCTCCCCAAGCCACATTCCGGGTGTTTTTCCTCTGGCCGAGTCCCTAATCAAACGCCCGCATCAAAGTGTCCTAACCCTGAGGACACTCGTACACTACGTGGCACCCCCCCACCCGCCAAAACGACGCGCGGCCCTGGGCTAAATCGCCACACAGTGACTATGGTGAGCATGTGAAGCGGGGCGGCCGCAAACCTCCCTGACGTCTCCCCACCTCCTTCCACCACGAACTCCAGAGCCCGGCGCCACCGCGACGCAGCGGCCCATTCTTTCCTCCCTCCCTCCCTTT